TATGGTGTATAGATCAGTGTCAAAAACATATTAATTCATCTTGCTCACAAGTGTTGAATTAATTTTGTTTTATGAAGTTTTGGGATATTTTACTTGGACATGTGCCTATTTGGTATTTTCAGTTGTGTCCGTTGGTTACAAACATTGTTTGTATTGTTATCGGTCTAATGAAACTGATGCATGATTGTTTTGGAGATGTATTCACACCTGCAGGTTATGGTGGTTTCATTAGATGAAGGATATCTGCATTGGCAGATTTAAGGCTTCGAAGAAGCATAAAGTGTAACTTGTGAGTTACAATAAGGTGGACCTGAGATGATATAAAGTAAGACATTTTGGTTAATTTAAAGTTTAATTTTAAAGTTTCATCTCTTGATCATAATTTGTGTTTCATGTGAATGAGGATCTTAGCATGTGTGATTATGAAGGTTCTGGGTTGCGTCAACTCTACAACCTTGTTAGTTCCATGTTAAGAAATGCATTTGACAGAAGCTGCATTAAGGACGAGATGTAATCACAGTTACATGGCCACTAAAGTAACATTAATCTCCAATCTCAAGTATAAACATGAAAATTACATTTTGTAGACCAAGTGGAGAATGTTGGATTTATCCAATATAAATCAACCTTAAGTGGTCTACTACATGTAATAGGAATGTAATATTGGAGAATAATGTTAATTGTGATTTAATCTCTTAAAGATATTAATTCTATATAAGGTGTCTTATATTGGAAATATGATTGATGGAATCCTTAATAATATATGATTATGATATTTTACTTGAGAGCCAAGAAAGGAGAGTTTTAGTTTTCCCTTATGGACGGAATCTAAGACTTTTTGGCTAGTATATAAACACCGGTCCCTGCTAACCCTAGACACGACAACTAAGGCCTCCCATAGAGCATTGTCATAAAGCTAGGAGTTTACAGAAGAGTTGGTGTTTTCTGTTTGTCACGGCAAACATAAAGATTGGAGTTTTATCGATCACGTCTTACTTGCATGGCTACTGCATCTTCGATAACTACCATTGGAATCAGGTCAGTCACTCCTTCGTTTGTGTTTTAATTGTATAACCAATAAGGCTAACATTAATATCACCTACCCTCGTTTCGATCCAAACAAATTCTCCACCTTTTGCTCTATGACTTCTTCCAACACCCTCTATGTGTCCCATATGAGCTTCAACCTAAGGGAGCCTATTATGAGTATGACATAGGATACGCCGGTGCTCAATACACCGGCGGGTGTGGCATCAACATCTTCACGTTCAACAGTACTGCTGCAGCAGAACATCGAGAAGCCATCGACGTCACGTTTGGCCTTGGCCTGTTCAACAAAATTCTGGACTTTGCAGACCACGACCGCCACCCCAATATCATGGCCGGGGTTCTCAGAATAGGAAAGTCCCACCCCTCCAGTTTTCTATTGCATGCTCAGTCCAATCACACAAATGAAGTTCTCGTACTGCTTGCCGAGGAGAATCGGAGATGAGGCCGCCCTGCATTTCAGCATCGATGCGGAGCTCTGTCATCATGCCCACATGCACGAATGAGGCTAGCTAGGCACAAAAGAGCATCCAAGTACATATCTTTACTTATGTGTTTGTTGTGTAAAGGTGATCGACATTCGGACATGGAATTTCTCCCGTTGGACATGAACCACTAATTCATAATATTGAACTGATCTAGGCTAGGCTTCTATCTAGCTACTTCTACTTGCTCGTTTTATTTAGCTATTTGATTTCCTTCAATAAACCTCTGGAGCAAAATATAGTTTCTTCGCACCAACATCGTAGAGGAACCTACTGTTCAATTGTTGGTATGCGCCGAGGATGTTCCCTCCGACTTCTCTGTCTTCGTCGATCAAGTAGTACTCTCCAAGGTCATGGAACGCATAGAACGTCAAAGATTCGGTGAGCTGAAGATTTACTCGGCCATCAAAGTGAAAAGCCACGGACAGAGCTTTCCTCGAACAGCCTTCTTGACCCCTCTGAGGTCATAGCAAAGCTCCATCTAGGACCTACTCTTGTTGACCAAGGGATGCAGCTGCCGCTCTTCCTCAAAGTAGGCAATGATTGACTCTTTCACGATCTTATACACTGGGCTAATAAACGTAGTCTACGGCGACCCCAAATCAATGGTAATTCCCATGCCGTCATAACCGAACAACGCCAGGTCTATTGGAAGAACTGATCCAGCCAAACTAATTCCTGTCATGTTGACGTAGTAAAAATCATTGTCGGACCCGAGGATGGGGATTGTTTGCACGTGGGCATGACGACGGAGCTCCACATCAATGCTGAAATGCAGGGCGGCCTCATCTCCGATTCTCCTCGGCAAGCAGTGCGAGAACTTCATTTGTGTGATTGGACTGAGCATGCAATAGAAAGCTGGAGGGGTGGGACTTTCCTATTCTGAGAACCCCGGCCATGATATTGGGGTAGCGGTCGTGGTCTGCAAAGTCCAGAATTTTGTTGAACAGGCCAAGGCCAAACGCGACGTGATGGCTTCTCGATGTTGTGCTGCAGCAGTGTTGAACGTGAAGATGTTGATGCCCTAGTAGCCGCCGGTGTATTGAGCACTGACGTATCCTATGTCATACTCACAATAGGCTCCCTTAGGTTGGAGCTCATATGGGACACATAGAGGGTGTTTGGAAGAAGGCATAGGGCAAACGGTGGAGAATTTGTTTGGATCGAAACGAGGGTAGGTGATATTAAAGCATTGGACGTACTGAGCCGTCTGGAATCAAACAGGTCCGTGTCTATAGCCAAATTGGCCTTCACCGGTGGGTTACCAATGTAGACCTCCGCATGGTAAAAACCGGTAAACTTTTTTCACGGTCACCTAAGGACCACTCACGGTAGTCAATGGGGATGAAATGGAAGAAGTGATGGGATTGTTGCGGAGGAGGGTGTCGGCATCGGGTGGTGTTTGATTGTCATGGTGAAGGGTTGGCATTGGAAGGCAAGAAAGGTGAATGTTAAGAGTATGAGAGTAGTGGACGTGGATGCCATGTTTCGTTCAACTTCAAGATTGCTGCTTCTACATCTACTGGTATATATACTAAAATTTAAAGGGATTTTGCTATAAAGCCCCCCAAATTTTATCAATTAAACCCAATTGAAGCTTTTTTTTTTTTTTAAATGGCCCCAATTTGAAGTTTTTAGAGACTTTCGCCTAATATTTTCCCATGCTCATCTTTTTATTGAATAATAATAGATAATTTGTCCATTGTCCATTGATATTCTTCTAGCTAGTTAGATATATGTGCATCCCATATGGTATTGTATGTGTATGCATGTATCCCATCTGCAAACTTATACATGCGGATCCTTTATTTGGATGGCTGTTTGTATGTGGTTCGCCATGCATCCTCACTAAGTATTGCCTTTACTAGAAATATGAATATCATCCATCTGTTTTTTGAACCTAGCTAGCTAATTAAAATGGCAAATGCCAGCAAAGGAATTTGGACTTGCACTCTTAATTATTGTGAGGTTAATTTCAACTTACTTTTTTCCTCTACCTAACCCAATAATTCATATAGATGAAACAGAAATAGCATTAGCATGTGGTAGTGGTGTTCCATAACCCGATTGCATTGGGTTAATTATAAGGGTTTTGTTTTTCTCTCTAATAGGTATGATTATAGGACATCCATTTTTTAAGATTACGTGATTGCGTGGAACTGCATATATTTTAGCATTAGCTAGGATGTTTGCATTAGCATGCATACACACACATACACAAGACCAAGTAAATGTGGATTAATTAAGTTGCAAAGAACCTCAGCCTAATGAAGTCTGCAAGTTCAGGCATTTGCCATTTTTATTTGCTTCTGAAACAATACATATAAGGTATTTCATTTGTCGATTCCATTAAAGGCATTACTTAGTAAAAGCATAAGAGTTATTTACTTGTATCCACAGTATTATTGAAACTGAATTTACAAACCAAACCCTCCAGGTCTAGGGCAACCTCCAATGACACTTGGTCTCTGTTGGTCAAATCAGAAAGAGGGAGGGAGGGCAATAAGGGCACAACAATTGAAGTTCTGTTTTAAAAAAGGCCCCAAATTATAATTATATAGGTTTAGAGTCCCATCCATATATATTTATATATATATCTCCATCTCCACTTTAATTTTTTTTTTCAGTCATCAATGTACTATTGAATTATCTGTATCAGTAGGAGTAAGCAGCATAATCAAGTATGCAAGTTCAAAGCTTGCTGCATTTGCCATTTTAATTCACTTTACAACAAATGGATGATATTTCATATATCCAGTAAAGGAATTACTTGGTGAGGAGGTTGCTAGAGTTTTCATCAAGTGCAAATTTACCAGTCAAAGACGAATTGGCACGCAGGCAGCTGGAATATATTGTTCAAATGAACAGTTATATACATGTATTGAGAAATGATAAAAACATTTTTTTTTTACTTTTTATACATTCATATTTAATTATATTCATCGATTTTGTTTGATTGATTCGACCTAATAACTAAAGCTAAAGACAGGCGTGTGAAATTCACCCTTACTACTTAATGGTTAACTTGGTTGGGGTGCATGGTCCCCATGGCCAAAAACGACAAGTTGACCTTAATTCAACTTTTTTATGTTGAGTTTAAAGGAAAATGATACTCTTCGGTTTCATTTTGTCGGAATTTTAAGAATTCTCACATCCTAACTATTTATTGTACATTTTACGATTAATTTTTATTAGATGCTATCTGTATTTAATTTTAAATAAAAAAAGTTAAGTAATTTTTAACCGCATGATATACATGAATGATTAAAATGTGTGAATCCTTAATTCTCACAAAATAAATCGGTGTGGAATCCAATTCCGAGTTTAAATACCCATATTCAGACCATACTATGCCCATCACTTCAATCTGATGCCATTATTAATTTATTACCACTACTCTTTGTCTCTCACACGACACCATCTCTCTTTGTCTACCCGCTCACTCAACATTTAATTTCCACCATGACACTCTCCGTTTCCCACCTCTCTCTACCCACTTAGACTCTCCCTCACCTCTCAACCATTTCCCGCAGCTCTCAACCTCTCTCACCGCACTCCCTCACTTTCTCTCTTCTTTCCCCTTATCTCTCTCGTCCCTTTTTCCCTCTTCGTTGCACAGCAAACGCTGACAGCGGCGAGCCGTTTTACTCCGACAAACCGGAACCAGGCAGCCACCATCCCCGCGACCCTCTCATCACCACGAGCTAGGGGTGTTTGCATTAGCATACATGTATATATACATACACAAGACCAAGTCAATGTGGATTAATTAAGTTGAAAAGAATCTCAGCCTAATGAAGTCTGCAAGTTCAGGCACTTGCCATTTTTATTTGCTTCTGAAACAATACATATAAGGTATTTCATTTATCGATTCCATTGAAGGCATTACTTAGTAAAAGCATAAGAGTTATTTACTTACATCCACAGTATTGAAACTGAATTTACAAACCAAACCCTCCAGGTCCAGGGCAACCTCCAATGGCAATCGGTCTCTGTTGGTCAAATCATGGAGGGAGGGAGGGCAATAAGGGCACAAGAATTGAAGTTGTCTTAAAAAAGGCCCCAACTGACGACTATAAGGTAAGCAAAACGAGCTCAACTGACGACGTTATATATGAAAGTAGACTTTAACCTAAGTTTTCAAACTGTTAAACCGCAGTTTTCGTACGTAAATAGGATTATTAAATCTTTTGTATGTAAATAGTATATACGTACATATTAAGTATTATTTTTTGTAAATAAATACGACTATATATAATTTTTTTGTACGGTTTTCAATCCCCGTAGCATCTCACGTGCATCATTTGCTAGCTACATACCTAAACAGCCAAGCCTACTATTTCTCCTCAATATTAACCACCTGCTTAATGATATGGTTTGTCCCCTTTTAGGAAGTTGAAAGTGAATTACTTGTTTCAATTTACTTTGGACGCTTGCTAATTACTCAAGTTTGGGATACCGAACAAGTAGGCAATAAAATATTCTTCTGTAAAAAAAAAAAAGTAGGGGAAACCGAACAATTAGGCAAACATCTATTGGTATAAATTCCCCCGGAAGGGGCACCAGAATTTTATGTTGTGCTGCCAGAAAACAAAGAGCCCCTTCACCATCTTGGATTGCAGTATTCCTTAACAACAGAAAACAAAGATGTCGTCTTCCTTTTTTTTCCCTCAACCTGATGATAACCATCCTCTTGCTTGTACAGGCAAGGCCTCAGCCGGCAACAAGCCTTAAATTGCCCCATGTTCAAAAACAAAAATAACATGATTGTTGTCAAGATTCATGTTGGCTTCCAGCCAACGGGGAAAGCATACCTCACGTTGGACACATTGAGCCCCTTCACCATCTTGGATTGTAGTATCCTCGATGGTTATGATCCAAACCGTTCGGAAACCTCCCAACTCTTGTACTACAACAACTCCATCTGCATTCCACCCCTCCACCAGTCATTTTCTTCTGATTGGTGTTGGTTCCAATTTGAATCGGCTCATGGTTTTTATGTTTTTTATTTATTCGCCTCCAACATGTCTGACGGCCGTAAGGCCCTCGTCCCTTTCGGTTGCATCAATGAGTACTCCCCCTCCTCTGGAAAAAATAACATTGTTCCTGTTACTGGAGTTATTGGCCTTGGCCAAGGCCACCCTTCCAACTTCCCCATCCAATCAACCTTGGAAAAATTCTCCTTCTCAATTCCGCTTCACGAGCTACCTGCTGCCTCTACCGCCGCCTCCGCCAATGACTTTGATCCATCGTTGGCCTTTGGCCCCTATGCCACAATGCCCACCAACGGTACCGTTCGTGTTCAAAGCACAACAATATTGAGGGAGCAGCATGCAGTAGGAGGAGCACCCATCAGAGACTACTATTACTTAAATCTTACTGGCATTATTGTCGGAGAATATATGGTCCAAGGAATAGACCCAAAGTTGTTTTGGCTGCCATCTCGCAGCGGTAGTGGATTCGTCATCCACACTTCCAGCTCTTAAATTGTGATGCCAGCCTCGGCTTATGACGCATTTTGAGTAGTAGTGGTCGATCTAGTGAAAGTATTGTACGAGTTGGACCAGATGGAGCCACTGGCAGGATATGACGTGTGATTCAACACCACAAATCTGGCGGCAGTGGCGAACACGACCCCCTTTTCACGCCTTCAATGGTTCTTGAATTTGAAGGCGGAGTGGCCCACCTAAAGCTCCTAGATAAGTACCGTTCCAAGAGATGCCGGATTTCGGCGAACGGTACTACTCATGCATGTTGGTGGTGGCGGGGGATAAACGTGGTGGGCAAAAACCAAGCTTTGTGAGGTTGTTGGACCAGATTTGCTACAAATTTCTTTATGATCTCTCTACCTCATGACTATCGTTTACAACCGGATAGTGATGATTTGAAACGAACACTTGCAGCTGTCGCAACTGTCATTTTAACCTACTACTTTTTCAATGTAAATGGTTTATCATGATGTACTGATTAATTCCCAGATTAATGAGATTAATAACTAAATCTTCTAAAATCTAGCAAATATATGTTTCAAAAAGTCTTTAAATTTCACCGTAACATAAAATTTCACCATAAGATGGGATTAGACAACTGAGAGGGTGCTCAGTGGACTCCTTTTTTTTTAAATGTAAATTAGCAATTTGGACACTGATACAAAAATGATTTTTCTCTGACAGAGTACTTATCTTTTCTCTTACACAATACTTATTAACTCTAAAAATCTCATTTTATAATTTTCATAAGTTATTTTTCTTTCTAATTATAAAAAGGTTGGAATGTAAAAATGAGATTTTTGGAGTGCTAATAATAGTTCGAAGATTGAATATATGATTTAGTAGTACTATTCATTTACATGCCAATGTGGAAATGTCGTTTTTGTCACAATGGAGACACCTACATAGGCCATGTACTGCCATTGAGTGACCATTGATAGTTGCCACCCAAGTCGGTGCCTATTCTTCCTAATCCACACCAATGGGAATGGTGTTCACTGGCTAAAATTCTAGCAGTGACACACATATATATATGTATCGTTATTGGCACTTCAAAATATCAGTTTGCTCTCTAAACTTTCTATAAATAAAAAGAAAAATTTACTTATAAAGTGTGTAAAATGAAATTTTTAGGGTGCTAATAATAGTTTTCAATACATAATATAGTATAATACTTTGTAAAACAATCAAGCAAGCATGACAAGCAATCAAATATTTGGCTGTTATTATTATTTTTCTAATTCACATCATAAAGTCATAAAAAGCTAATAGAAACTTAGTTAGAAACATAAAATTAGCATGGATTTTATAAAAATCCAGCCCAATACGATGTTTGTTTTGGGTTTTACATTTTTTTATTTTTTTTATGGGAAAACTAATGAAAATGACTTGAAAATTTTGAGGTTTAATCAAAATGACAAAAAGATGTTGTAAGTGAATAGTACCTAACTTTAAAAATGTCTTTAACGTTAAAAGTAAACAATATCAAGAGTGTTTCATTAAAAAACGCGTAGGTTGTCTGAGGTGATAACCTAAGCGATTATCAAAGATCCAAAATTTATCCCTAAGTTAAAGAGAGTAGATAAGAAAATTTCACAACAGTAAACAAAAGATTAAGCATAACAGCTTCTATGTCTTTATTCTTTTAATGTGACCGAGGTCCGAGGATGATATCGATATTTGAACAACAGAAGTTTACATCCTCTTCCAAACAAAAAAGATCAAATCTATATTAATTTCCAACTTTAGTAAAGCTGGACAATAAGTTTCCGTGAAGAGGGTTATCCCATACAGAAGCTCTGTATTTCGCAACAGAGGAATGCAACGACACATTCTTGGCCGTAAGGTTAAGGTTATGTACTGATTAATTCCCAGATTAATGGATTAATATCTAAATCTTCTAAAATCTAGCAAATATATGTCTCAAAAAGTCTTTAAATTTCACAATAACATAAAATTTCACCATAAGAAGGGCGCTCAGTGGACTTCTTTTAAAAAACCGTAAATTTGCAATTTGGACACTGATACAAAAATGATTTTTCTCTGACACAATGCTTATCTTTTCTTTGATACAAAATGATGTATCAGTGTCCAAATTGCAAATTTATGTTTTTAAAATAGGAGTCCACTGAGCGCCCTCTCAGTTGTCTAATCCCATCTTATGGTGAAATTTTATGTTATGGTGTAAGTTAAAGACTTTTTGAAAAATATATTTGCTAGGTTTTAGAAGATTTAGATATTAATCTCATTAATCTGGGAATTAATCAGTACATCATGATAAACCATTTACATTGAAAAAGAAGTAGTTTAAAATGACAGTCGCGACAGCTGCAGGTGTTCGTTTCAAATCATCACTATCCGGTTGTAAACGATAGTTGCGAGGTAGAGAGATCATAAAGAAATTTGTAGCCAATCTGGTCCAACAACCTCACAAAGCTCAGTTTTTGCCCACCGCATTCATCCCCCGCCACCATCAACATCCAGGAGTAGTACCGTTCGTCGAAATCTGGCATCTCTTGGAACGGTACTCCATCCAGGAGCTTTAGGTGGGCCACTCCGCCTTCAAATTCAAGAACTATTGAAGGTGTGAAAAGGGAGTCGCGTTCGCCACTGCCGTCAGATTTGTGGTGTTGAATCACACGTCATATCCTGCCAGTGGCTCCATCGGGTCCAGCCCGTACAATACTTTCACTAGATCGACCACTACTACGCGAAATGCGTCATAAACCGAGGTTAGCATCACAATTTAAGAGCTGGAAGTGTGGATGACGAATCCATTGCCGCCGTGAGATGGCGGCCAAAACAACTTTGGGTCTATTCCTTGGACCATATATTCTCTGATAATAATGCTGGTAAGATTTAAGTAATAACAGTCTCTAATGGGTGCTCCTTCTGCTGCATGTTGCTCCCTCAATATTGTTGTGCTTTGAACACGAATGGTACTGTTGGTCGGCATAGGGGCCGAAGGCCAACGATGGATCAAAGTCGTTGGCGGAGGCGGTTGTAGAGGTAGCAGGTAGCTCATGAAGTGAAATTTAGAAGGAGAATTTTTCCAAGGTTAATTGGGTGAGGAAGTTCGAAGGATGGCCTTTGCCAAGACCAAGAACTCCAGTAACAGGAACAATGTTATTTTTTCCAGATGAAGGGGAGTACTCATTGATGCAACCGAAAGGGATGAGGGCTTTACCGCCGTCAGACATATTGGAGGCGAATAAATAAAAAACATAAAAACCATGAGCCGATTCAAATTGGAACCAACACCAATCAAAAGAAAATGACTGGTGGATGGGTTGAATGCAGATGGACATGTTGCAGTACATGAGCTGGGAGGTTTCCAAACGATTTGGATCATAACCATCAAGGATACTACAATCCAAGATGGTGAAGGGGCTCAATATGTCCAAAGTGAGGTATGCCTTCATCGTTGGCTAGAAGCCAACAAGAATCTTGGCAACAATCAGGTTATTTTTGTTTTTGAACAAGAGCACTTTAAGGCTTGTTGCCGACTAAGGGAATTTAAACCAACAGATAATAACATGAAAACTCAACACTTTCATGGAAAAATTAACAGAAAAGTATTCATTGCATTCTCTATCTTCCCACTTGTTCAGTATCCCATACTTCAGTTATTAGCAAGCACCCAAAAAGGTGAATTGAAACAAATAATTCAATTTCAACTTACTAAAAATGGACAAACCATATCATGAAGGGGTCAATGCATATGTAGTCTAAGATCAAGCAAATGTAGGGTGACATACCCCGACCTGAAATGTCCACCTGGACATCATAATCACGATGTGCTGGCCGACACCTGGAATGTGACGAAGCCATAAAGTGTAGTGATGTGGAAAAAGTGAATAAAATAAAATCTAAAAGTGACTAATTTAGAGTGCAATGTGAGCTGGCTTGAACTCATATCACACAAGTGATGTTAAAGCATAGATAAATTGCAGTAAAAGAAGAGGAATGACTTTTATACCAAAAAGAGAAATCTCGTACATAACAGATTTTGCCAACAATTCTCGTCGTCATGAAACCTCTGCCACTAACATCCTGGAGGGGCGAAAAATAAGGGTGAGTAGGCCTGAAAATAAAATTTTGTAAAACCTTTTCGAAAAGTGTAACTCATCGCCGTAAAACAAGTATATGGTTTCCCAAAAATAATATAATATTAGTATTTAATACGGTACCCTGCCTCAAAAGTGAGTGAAAAGATGTAGGGTACACTGACAAGATATCTCCACATTAAATCTCAATTCGATATCACAAGAAAACAATAATTATTAATTTATGTAGGCACACAAGTCCATTGCAAAGATATCAGACAATGAAACAGGTTGGGTGTATGTTTTACATTCTAGTACTACATCAATTGAGCTACGCTAGTCGCATCACATACAAGTCCAACACATCATACAAAATGACAGGATGACACCTAACTCTGGATCTAAAACGAATGCAAACGGTGCATGTGAACTACACGTGAAGCTAGTCCTTGGCCCAGAACAATACAAATAACTAAGAGATATGGTGCAAACATGTAATAATGAGCAGGTAAAATGCAAGGATGTCATGCCACAGTTTATACTCACAAATAATATTAAAAACATAAAATGTACGAAAAGTCTATTTGTAAAGCTAAACATGGCATGTCACATCATAATATATAAAAGCAGTTGTTGGAAAATCACACACACACATATATATATATATACATAAAAACAAAAGACCCACTCACAGATACTTGTGATGTCACATCCTTTTGAGCTAAGAAAGTTGGAGTCTCCAATAATAATCGCACATAAGCATAATATTATGTCCCATTAGTAAAACTCAACTAAAAGGATTAAATTTGGAAAAACGGATAGCGAATTTGGAATCAGCACATCGAAATACGCTAAGAAGGGTCCCGGGTGAATTTTGTAATAAGTTAACGGTCAACCCTAAAAGTCAACTGTGACGCCCAGGCGGTCAATTACGTTAAAACTTACGAATTTTACTAAATGGATGTCAAAAATGGACTCGGAAAGTTAGATGGGAGTTAACGAAATATTCCAAAAAAAATATTCCCCTAATTTCATAAATGGGCCTGGGCTGGAACAAAGGCACAAAGGTTTGGGCCGAGTTTGGGCTTAGCCCCCTCTTTTTTTTTTTAAAGAAAATGGGCTGGTTCGTGGATCCGGTCAAATCCGGTTTAGGGTTAATGGGTCATGGGCTTTGGGCCGGTTCGGGTTTTGGGCTCTTTTTTTTTTCCTTTCTTTTCTGCAGATTTTCGTCGGAAAATCTGGGGAGGATTCAAACCCTCCGTTCACAGTCGTTTCATAACCAAAAATTACCCATAATATACCGAAACGAAGCTAGAAAAGTGTAGAATAAGGTTGTACCTGTTTGGAGTTCAAAAAGTGATCGAAGATGGCCGGAAAATGGCCTGAAAGCTGCGGTCCTTCGCCGGAAATTGGGGAAAAGAGTATAAACATGCATGC